GGGACTGGCTCCGGCGCGCTGGAGCCGCGCGGCCGGCGGCGCGGCGCCGGAGCCGCGGCGCGTCCGCGACCATCTCGGGCCCGAAGGCCGCGCGTTCCAGCTCGGGACCGCGTCGGTGTTCTCCGACCCGGCAGAGTGCGCGGACTTTGACGGCGAGGGCGAGGCGGCGCGGCGGTATCGCAGCAAGAACGCGCTCTTCGTCCCGCTCCTCGCCGAGGCGGGGGCCGAGGGCGCGCTCGGCGTCGTCGTCTTCTCGAACCGGCTCCACGACGACCAACAAACGCCGACGCCCGAGCTCGCGGACGAGCTCGCCATGACGGCCGAGGACGACGCGGCGCTCCGCGACGAGGTCACGTACGTCGCGCCCGGCGACGCCATGCGCACGATCTACGCGACGCCCTTCTCGTCCCGCGACGAGGCGGCCCTCGCGGGCTTCGTCGACTTTTTAGGCCTCGTCTACGCGTTCACGCAGCGGAACAACGACAAGGGCCAGCGGAGCGAGAACTCGCGCGTCGCCGCGCACAAGCGCGAGCGCCGCAAGTCGCGGGACGATATCCGCGACCGGAGCCTGTCCAAGTTCGTCGACGGCGTCGAGTGGGCGTCGACGGCGACGGAGCTCTTCGGCGCCGACGCGTTCGGCTCCCTCAAGGCCGCGCCCGCGCGCGCGCCGCCCGAGGTCGCGCGCGCCTTCGCGCGGTGGAAGGCCGCGAGCTAAGTTTTAGGACGGGTGGAAGGCCGTAGAGCTACGTTTTAGGTCGGCGTCAGCATGGCGAGCAGGTTCCGCACGGCGGCGACGACGAGGCGGCGCTGGGCCTCCGCCGCGGGCCGCGCGCGCGCGTCCGCGTCGACGGCGGCCGCCAGGAGCGCGTCAATCTCGCCCCGGAGCGCGAGGACCGCGAGCTGCGCGTGCTTCGTGGCCTTGAAGGGGAGCCAGCCGTCGAGGACGACGCGCGTGCCGTCCAGCGACTCGCGCAGCGCGCCGCCGAAGAGGAGGAGCGCGAGCGGGTGGACGACGGACGTGTCGAGGAGGTAGGGCTTCGAGGTCTTCAGGCGCGCGTTGTAGACGACGTAGGTCGTCTTCCGCTCCTTGAGCTTGCCCCCGGGCGCCAACGTCTTGAAGTTGAGCGACTGTGGGTGGCACCACCACTTGGACCGGTCCCGGCACTTGAGGTGCGGCGCGTCGCCGGCGAGTCGAGCGACGTGCGGGTAGAGCCCCGCGCACAGCAGGCCTCGCAGCAGCGACGACGTCTCGTCGAGGGTCACGGCCTCTTCGTCGCCGAGCAGCCCCGCGTCCCGCAGGTGCCCCCGGAACTGGTTCCGGAGGCCCGTCAGGTCGCCCAACGCCGCCATGTGCAGGAAGTGGTCGCGGCAGAACCCGGGCACGTCGCGGCGGTCCAGCGCGCCGCGCGCCTCGTAGGCGCCGACGACGGCCAACAAATCGCTCTCGCTGCCCCGCGCGAAGCGCCGCTTCGCCGCCGCGGCCTCCTTGCGCTTGTGGAAAGGAGCGACGAAGACGCCCTTCGGCAAAGACATGCCGGCGGCGAGCGTGAGGCACGGCTCCGCGGCGCCGAAGATCGCGCCGTAGATCAACAGCTTCGCCACGCGGCAGTCCATGGGCAGGTCCGCGACGTGGCGCCCGAGAGGCGTCAGGACCCAGGCCTCGCCGTCGTCGGCGGGCGCGGCGCCGTCGTCGTCGCCGTCGCTGTCGTCG